ATATAACACTGCATATGTAATCATTTATATAAAGCTAATTCGTACATAAAATGAAGAAACAACATACCATAAAATGTACATGATCAGAATGTCAGGTGAGTGGTTCAAAAACACGTCAAATCCCGCTCGCTTACAGGACGCCACTGACACAAGCCAATGCCCAAGCTAAAGATGTCACGCATAATCACGTGACAAGTGATGACACACGATGTCGCCCTCTAAAGTACCTTATGAAACCTCTAACAGCTTTAGTCGGGTCTTTCTTGATCCTCCTATACGTAGGGGTGTTCAAGAGATGCAAGACTTTCTCGTTATACTGGGCGACATCCATGACGACCGTTGCATCAATATAATAATACTAACTCAATGAATAATAACAATATCAAATAAAACTGTTGAAACTCCTTATTTCTTAAAACGTTTGAAAGCTCCTTGAAACAATGCTTGAAATATTGTAGTAAAAGCTTAATAGCAAACTAATACAATATAGTTATACTTTTAATAGCATAAAGAGTGTAATTCATTTGAGTGTGGTTCTTAAGCTGTTGTCCACTCGAAATCTGCCAGGTTTTTTTGTTTTTTTTTATAAATGTCGCAACATGGGAAATTACTTCTCTTTTTCTTTCGACAAGTTTGCTGTCTTCTTGCTGGTCCTGTTTGTTGTGCATTTAGTTCCAGATTCTGGATTTATACGTTTTAAGCATCTGTAATAAACAAGAGTTAAAATGTAATTTTGTTAGAATTTCTACATACCATATTTCATATTATTTTTTGTATCATTATTATACAGTATTTGAAGGTATATGTATCATATGAGTAAAGATTGAAAATATGGGTGACTGGATATAATTTTAAAAACATATAAATATAAAAACACTTTTTTTAAACAATGGGTTATTATATTAAGTAATACCTTCTTTTTTTAATTGTTTTTAATGTTTATACAGTTCATGATACATCACCATTAGTACAGTACCTTTAAATATAAATAATGATACACAAGATAAATAATATGAAATAAAGCATTGTAATATACACATAGTGGATTTCACTATAACATTAATGTCTTAGATTAAAAGGTTAGTTAAATTGCAATTGCTATTGATGGTAAGTATAACCGGTGCAATGTCTCCCGATTTTGTACACTCTGTAATTATACCATCGTCATTCAGCGCCACAGAACATTTCTTCATGTGATGGAATTGGCGATATACAAGTTCCTTTGATTGATTTAATGATAAACTGATGTTTCATAGTGCTGTTTAATATACAATAGTTAAAAAATTGTACAGACTCTTTAACACTAGTTCTTGTTTCACATTCAGATTCCTTTATACCTTAATTAATGTAAATATATGTGTAAGCATTGTCCAAAATACTATGAATACACTTAAGCTTGCCTTCCCTTGCTTTTCAATGATGCAAAAAATGGTAACAGCATGTACAAGAACATGAGTGCAACATCAATTTAAAAGTTTATAATCTACCTTTGTATGAACTCCAATGTGGTAGCTGCTTCTTCCTGATACTCATAGTTGAATGCATAGTAGCTTGCAAAAAGAGTTGCAAGAGCGTTTACCAAACTTCCCTCTGAAGGTGATATAACATATGCCACCTTGCCATCCAAGACTACCATCCACTCTTTTGCTGTAAATATAGAGTCTCCTAGATGTTAAAGATAGTTTATTGTGTGTGTGTGTAAAAAATATGTATAAGTCAAAAACGTAACAGTTTATGTTTTATCAAGTCAATCTTATGTATCTTTCGTTTCTCATGCATGCATTTTGGGTGATGACCACACACACGATTATACATAGCATATATATTATAATATATATATATATATATATATATATATATATATATATATGTATAAATTAATGGTTTAATTACAGCATTTTAGTCCCATTCCATTATTATCCACAGTACTTTTTACAAGTATACTATTTGCTGTAAAACATGGAAATCAGAAATAAAGTCAGCAGGAAGAAATATCAGTAGAAAGAAATGTCATTAACAAAGGAATGATCCATTTCAGAATAGGGGTCAAGACATTAAAATGAGCCATTACACACCCAGTTAATCTTACTTATATGGTAATTTCTGGTGTTAGCAAAGTACTGTATTAGTTATTTCTTCATCGTATTAACTATAGGCTTATTATTTATTAGGTTGCATTTATTTTACTAAATTTTCCATACAGCATCATCATTATAATATTTTAAGTACACTAAATACAATTTAATAATACCTGTATTTTTACGTAAATGTATTAGGTATATTAAGTTTACTTAGTTTCTTATTGTCTTAACAATGCCTAATTTATTAGGTTGTATTCCGTAAAATGGGGTAACTTCGGTCACTTTTTTCATATTTTGTTAAATTTTCTTCCATAACCCCCCAATTATTCTGGAAAATTCCAATATAGTAATAACATTGTTATGCCATTGGATGTATTAGTATTGAAATTGTGGCAATAATTGACTTCAGATTTTACATAGGGCCACAAAATATAGCCAAAAACCAAAACCTCAATTTGATGTAATTTCGGTCACTTATGAAATTTTGAAGTAAACTTGAAGTTACCGCAATAAAAACACATATTTACTAATTATTTTTCATTTGGAAGTATTTATTTCACTTCTAAAAACAATTTAATTCATTATTACTTGCCAAGTCCAAGAAAATTTAAAATATGCACTAAAAATGAGTTAAAAAATTAAATTGCACAAATGTAAAATATGCACTAAACGTGAGTTGAAAAATTAAATTGCACTAATGTCAAATATGCACTAAAACATGAGTTTAAATATTAAATTACCACTTATGTCAAATATGCAATAAAAAATAAGTTTAAAAATTAAATTACAATTATGTCAAATATTCAATAAAATATGAGTTTAAAAATTATATAAAAAAGTACTTTTTTTTATTACAGGACTGTGCCTTGAATAACCGATATATACAAAATTAACCTAGAAAAAAAGCATTAGACAAATTAAACATTGTTTAATTTACTTTAGTCTATCAAGGTGAAGGGTAGATAACATAAAAATTACTGCACAATTAATGATTAGAGCACTCAAACCCTACATCAAAGGACATACAAAATGAAGGTGTTTATTCAAATAAATAATTCTCCTCACTGGAAAGTGACTGAAGACTAATTCATACAGCATATGATAGCAAAATTATCCTTTTTGACAACAACAAACTTTTTAGATTTTTAATGTTTGAAATTGTATGAGAAAATATTATTTTTTTGAAAACTGTCTTGTCACGGATGGGACAATTACAATCGTCACAGACGGGACAGATTTGTCCAGTATGTTAAAAACACCTAAAAATGACTTTTTTTCAGAAAAAAAAGAGGAGATTTTGTTTTTTCATCTATTAAGATTTATTGACAACCACTAAAAAAATATATACAACAATCAATAACCAGTAAACAACATAATTATGAAAAATTTGATATTGAAAAAAAAAATGATTTAGTTGCATTTTGTTTGTCGTATTCTTTCACGGTAAGCTCTTGTTCGTTCTGCTCCTGATTTAGCTTTTTTGGTCTCTGGATCCATCTTTAGATGCTACCTTGACAATGGCTTGATTCAAAGTGTGTTATTTCTTGTAATTTGATGGCACCTATTATGCAGTAAACAATATTGCATTTTGGGAAAATCAATGTTCAAGCAAGCTTATCATTGGTTACTTGACTTAAAAAAGGTGGATACTATTTGTTTACTTAGGTACTCTAGTAGGAGAATTATGAATTTCAGAGTAATATTTGTATTGGAACTAATTTAAAATTAAACAATAAGCACTCAAATACCACAATAATCATAAATTTTTACAATTTAATCCCAAAAAATAGGGAAAAAACAATAAAATATTTTTTACAAACCTTTTGATTAATAAAGATGGGTAGATGGTAGACAATGTCTGGGTAAAAAAATTTCAGATATATTATCCATTATTTTTTCATATTTTTTTTTCTGATATCCTGTCCGTGACGCACAATTTTAATTTTTTTGGTTTAATTATTGCATAACTTTGTGATTACTTGTCGAAAATGAAAAAAAAAAACTTGTTCTAGAAAATTCAATGTTTCTAGTTTATGAATTAATCAAAATATATATTAAAAGTTGAACTTCAAAAATTCAAGTCTATGTCCTAAATACTGTGGAATGCCCCTTATGTATCTTTCGTTTCTCATGCATGCATTTTGGGTGATGACCACACACACGATTATACATAGCATATATATTTATATATATATATATATATATGGTTTAATTACAGCATTTTAGTCCCATTCCATTATTATCCACAGTACTTTTTACAAGTATACTATTTGCTGTAAAACATGGAAATCAGAAATAAAGTCAGCAGGAAGAAATATCAGTAGAAATAAATGTCATTAACAAAGGAATGATCCATTTCAGAATAGGGGTCAAGACATAAAAAAGAGCCATTACACACCCAGTTAATCCTACTTATATGGTAATTTCTGGTGTTAGCGAAGTACTGTATCAGTTATTTCTTCATCGTATTAACTAGGCTTATTATTTATTAGGTTGCATTTATTTTACTAAATTTTCCATACAGCATCATCATTATAATATTTAAGTACACTAAATACAATTTAATAATACCTGTATTTTTAAGTAAATGTATTAGGTATATTAAGTTTACTTAGTTTCTTATTGATAAAATTTTCTTCCATAACCCCCCAATTATTCTGGAAAATTCCAATATAGTAATAACATTGTTGGATGTATTAGTATTGAAATTGTGGCAATAATTGACTTCAGATTTTATATAGGGGCACAAAATGTAGCCAAAAACCAAAACCTCAATTTGGGGTAACTTCGGTCACTTATGAAATTTTGAAATAAACTTGCAGTTACCGCAATAAAAACACATATTTACTAATTATTTTTCATTTGGAAGTATTTATTTCACTTCTAAAAACAATATAATTCATTATTACTTGCCATAAGTCCAAGAAAATTTAAAATATGCACTAAAAATGAGTTAAAAAATTAAATTGCACAAATGTAAAACATGCACTAAACGTGAGTTGAAAAATTATATTGCACTATCAAATATGCACTAAAACATGAGTTTAAATATTAAATTACCACTTATGTCAAATATGCAATAAAAAATAAGTTTAAAAATTAAATTACAATTATGTCAAATATGCAATAAAACATGAGTTTAAAAATTATATAAAAAAGTACTTTTTTTTATTACAGGACTGTGCCTTGAATAACCGATATATACAAAATAAACCTAGAAAAAAAGCATTAGACAAATTAAACATTGTGTAATTTACTTTAGTCTATCAAGGTGAAGGGTAGATAACATAAAAATTACTGCACAATTAATGATTAGAGCACTCAAACCCTACATCATTGCCATCATTACAATAGCCGCAAACCCATCTGCCACATTCAATTAAAGTACACTGGAGCCAATCAGGGCCTATGTACTCATCCCAAGTTTGCTGGCAAATATTACACACATAATCATTCACAGTGTTCGATGTTGATGGTAGCGGAATTTCTTCAAGAGCTTTTCCAGGAGCAATTTTCTTCCCACGTTTCCGTTTTTTGGCATCATTCTGTCCTCTGTTTTCTTTTAACATCTCAATTAAGGATTCATCCAACGTGCGGCAAATCTGTGCTCGGTTGTCGTTTTCAGTTGATTCAGCTGTGTCCGGAAGACTTTTCAAAACTTGTTTAGGGTCTAATGGATACAGTCCACATACACGAAACCTGATTTTAAGTTCTTACTTTTGCTCTCTGATACTTCCAAAGTCTATTAAGCAAAGATGGAAACACCTCTTTTGGTATGGTGCCTTGTAACCTGGTTGTCTTACGCCAACCGTTCAATATTGTCCGCCACACCTCCTTCATAGGTTTAAAAACAGCAACATCAAGCGGCTGAGTAAGGTGTGTGGAATTCGGCGGAAGCGCTGTAAAGTAAACATTGTTCGCTTTTGCGGCCGCTACAACTTCTGGTGAAAAGTGGCTGGCCAAGTTATCCCCAACCAAAAGTTTCTGTCCATCAATCCTTTCCGCATGTGGCAAGAAAATTTAAAAAAAACCATCTTAGATGCTGTAGCGTCATATCTGGTTCCTAGTGGCCCATTTACCATCCAGCCTTCGTACAAATTGGCAGCTTTATATATCACAAAGGGTGGAAGTAGTTCACAACTTGCACTGCCACAAACCATTAATGAAATAGCCATCTTTTAATGTTCCATGACTCTTTCCACTCTTCTCATCCCACGAGGTACGATTACTTTCTTTGCTTTTTGGTCGTCTGTGATGTTAGTCTCATCATAATTGAAGATGCGTTCTGGTGTCATGTTAGCGATAACAGGCTCTAGGTTTGAGAAGTATTCAATTACTTCATTTTTGTTTACTCGTGCTCGAGATCTTTTGATGTTTCCAGGTGTCCTCTGTAGTTTATTTCTGGCCACAAATGATCTAACGAAATCTGGCCCAGGCATATTGTTCTTAAACCTTTCAACACGACGTCCTTTTTTGTCAAGGTATGCTTTAACAAGGCATTGTAAATCATTGTAAACGTAATGTTTGCTTGTTCCGTCACTGGAAGACAGTCTTGGAGTCTTCCTTTGGAAAGTTTTTTTTTTCTCCTCTAGATGCTTAGAAAGAATGCACTTTATGATACAATGATAATACACATTCATATTTTTCCCCCACTTTTGGACAATTAATAATTACGAAGATGATGATGATGATGATGAGGAGGAGGAGGAGGAGGTACTATAGCTAGGTGATAACAGGCTTCTGTTAATCAACAGGCCGGTGTCAACCGAGGCCCGTAGCCAAAGTTTGTCGTCACATTTTCAATGCACACAATCGGACAACAGTAATAATTACAAATATTTATGATCAGTACATTCCCAACTTTGATGAAAATATCATATATCCAAAATTTACGTTATATGCATGCACGAAAGTGGAAAGTTGAACCTAAAATATTAATATATGTATTCTGTTTTACTCTTAGATAGAGATGGCAGGCTATAAAGGAAAATAAACTCCTTGTTTAATGGTCTTCACTGATATTATATTCTAATATAACCATTAACATTAGGAAGAACACTTTATCACATTCAAAAATCAGACCCATGTAAATTTATATTTCCTTAGGTCTAAATAATAAGGAAGTCTACTCTTCAAATGTTTAGTATAGATGGGTACAGAGAATTTTTATTAACTGTCAATTTCTATCCACATTTTAGGAAATTATGTTTTATGCATGCACCAACGTGGGAATTTTGTTGTATGTTGTTTGTTGAATGGCCTTCTGTAATAGGCCTATTACAGTCTAATATGACCACAACATAGTGAAGTCCATTCTTTAAATGTTTAATAGCATAGTACAGAGAATTCTGATTTTTCAAAATCAATATCCTTATACATTTAACCTAATAATCTTAATATAATTGTTCTAAAAATCATCTTATGACCACAACTTTAAACATCCTTTTAAATAAAAATAATAATGCAATTCTTTAAAGAAAAATGTACTCTTACCATAACCAAACTTGGTATTATTGTACCTCCACCAGCTGTGAAAGTAATTAAATATGCATAATAATTTCATATTTGTAAAAATTGTATGGAGTATATAATTACTTCACTTGATAGATAATATATTACAGGTTGCCCCTAAGCCATTACATAAAATATAGCATGAATTGCGTTTTTACGAATCACATGTAAACATTTAAGATTTTATTTTAAATCACACAAAATCACAAACTTATATTCAGTACATTCTAGACTGTCTTGGAAATATGGACCTTGCCAAATTTGGTTGTGTGCGTACACACCTTCGCAACACCCCACCTACTGGATATGCGGTCCTGCAAACTTTACATTTTTACTATTTTACTATCGTCGGGGACAGTTTTAACCCGTCATGAGAAATATTAAACATGTTTAATATTCTACAACGCGACTGCCCCAGACGCACACCATCGCGTCTGCGTTTAACTCACAGACCCGACGCGACAACAAATCGCTTCGGGCTGCGTCGTACGACGCTGTCTGAGTTGGCCTTTAGATATCCTCTCAATTTCCCATTGTACCTCAACGCTGTTTTATTTGAAATTCATACCATTGCTCATCTTCCGATTCCGTATTCATGTTCAGTCTCTCAGTGCTCGGTGGTCATTTTTGACCTTTTTAGATGTATCAGTAAGTTGTGAGCTCTGGTCTACAATTAGGCTACCCACTCCATTAAAGACCTGTAAGTAATAATCAAAAAAATAGGTTTCGCTTTAGTGTAATTTTGGAATAACAAATATAATAACAAAATTATATATGTCTTTTAATGAGGTTATAAGAATCAACGATAAATTTTTTATTAAACCATACATTGTGACATAAATCAAAATGATAAAAAAAAAATCAACAGTGTACGTTATCACAGTATATTGGGCAGCCGATTTAATTACAGTCCCCCCCCCCCTTATTTTTTTTTAAAAATTAATACTTAGACAATGAATACATTATTGCATTTATTTTGTCTATATTTTTGTCTTTGGTTTAGGTAGATGGCATTTCTGACAGAAAGAGTTGGAATTCTCCAAACCACCAGGCAATGTAATCACTTTAGATATTAAAAAAAAAATATTTTATTCACACTCTGACCTTTGCCATGGGGAACAGTGCGAATGTCTGGATCTACAATAATCTCCCAACCAGGAATATTCTTCTGTATAACAACGGTTCTCGACTTGCCACCCAAATCATGGACTTCGGTTCCGTCTGCACCGCAGCAGCTCCGCTTGATTTCTTTCAACTAAACGACACCAAGGAAGACCGGTTCGACCACATGAGTGATAACCCAGAACATGCACCGGAGCTATTCCATCCTGATACGCTACCAACATTTCATCTGATAATTACAGCCTCAGCGTCATCATTGAGGCTATTGGCGTCAACAGAATCATCTTTCCACTTATGCAGTGGTCAATGCTTAAGGAATCCCCAAGCTGCAGACCAAACATTGATGCAATAATAAGTGATCTCACATTTGAACTGAATTATCAAATTAAAAATCCAACCTAAATCTCAATCATTATTTGTAATCACATTCGGAAAATGTAAATATTTTGAAAAATATGTAAAAATTTAAATATGTAAATACTGGAAATTCGTTTGTTCTTTCGTTCATTCATTCGGCATTACTGCCCGGAAGACGCTAAAGCAGGAAACTTACTGTCGCCAAAGAACATGTGACTCCCTAAAACAATACAATAACAATGAAATAAAGTGAACAAAAACAAAATAAAAGGAACATTGGAAGTATTATAAAAAGCTATGGAAAAAAATAAATAAATAAACATTATTCTCGTTTCTAGATATGTTACCTCATGAACTATGTATATTGCACTACCGAATTCAATGAACATAATATTTTTACTAATTTAAAATAAATTGAGTTTGCGAAACTTATAATATCTTGTTTTCTGTCTGTTGTTATTCTTTATTTGTATATATCATTATAGGGTAATTTAGCATTAGTTTTGTGGTTAATAAGCACTCCTCCCAAACAGTTGGAGTGAATGACAGGACCAATGACGCTGATGTCAGGTGTCAGTGTGATAAGATGGGAAGCGGCTGAAACAGAGTGCACAATAATAATGTTGCTCATTTTTTAAACTGGTATTTAATTCATAACTAACTAGAGTTAGTCGCTCAATTGAACTAACTATACACACTGATTATGTTGGTCTACAAACACATTAACATTGCTGTGTAAAAAATAACTAAAATATGAACATCAACATTCTTTTCTATAAACATTCTGAAAATGTTGTTATACAGGAGGTAGTTTGTATAGGCTAGGACCTACCACACTAAGGCATGCTAGCCTAACTTGCTGTAGGTCTAGGCTAGTCGAAATACGTCTGAATCAAAAGCAAAAACTATATACATTGGATTTTAAAGGAAAGCTTTGCAATAAGTTTAATCGGGTTGATGGATAGAATATGATAATCTACTTAATATCCCAGTATCATAATTATTCTCTAGCAAGTACTACAAAAAACTACAGTTTTTGGGTGTGAAATAGATGTTTATATACTTATGTAAAGCCCCTTAATTTTACGTTAAATGTCATACTAAACACATAATTACCGTCAAGAAGTCCTTGGAAGTTCCAACATTTAATGCTGAGAGCTGCTTGAAATATCTCCTGGATGCAACATCCCACTACATGGCCGGCGGAAGCGGCCCGCCCCCCCCCCCCCCCCCCCCATTTTTTGGCGAAAAATATATAATGTCTGGAGATTTTTGTATGATCGGCAATGCAAAAAAAGGGGGGGAAGAAGGAGGGGAAAGAGAAGGTTTATCTAATACCCGACCGAGTTACATTTTCTCACAATTCATATTGGCGGATCTGGGGGAGGGGGGGTCATTGGTCCTTACCCCTCCCTTGGGCAACAAAAAAATGGCAAAAACAAACGAATTCTAGACCTACCCTTTCAGGACCCGTGAGCTGATTTTTTTTTTTTTTTGCTATTAGAAAATTCGAATTTTGAAGAACATAAAATTCATTAAAACACACTTCAAATGTCGGGAAAACTCATTTCCCGCCACCTAGGAATCAAAATTTTCCATGGGAAGAACCACAGGACCCCCCCCCCTTCTTTTTGGGATTTATCGATTCATGAAAAAACTACGTATGTAACTTGCTCAATCTTTTTTATGTATGTATACACACATAAGGCCTATTTACTGTAATAACAATGGGAAAAATTATCTGACCGTTTTCAAGAGTGGAAAACTTTGAATTTTGAAGAACTTAATTACTTTTAAGTTCTTCAAAATTCATGGTGTTCCCCTCTTGAAAATTATTATAATAAATCAATGAACCCAGAGAAAGGGAGGTCAGTTCTTCCCGGAAAATGTTGATTTATAAATGGTGGACAAAGAGATTTCCCGACTTCTGAAGTATTTTTTAATGACTTTAATTTAAAAGACACCTCAGAAGTCGGGAAATCTCATTTCCCGCCTTCTAGGAATCAAAATTTTACTGGGGAAGAACCCCGGACCTTTCTTTTTGGGATTCATCTCATGGAAAAATCGTATGCAACTACTCAATTTTTTTAAATGTATGTATACACACATAACAGGCCTATTTACTGTAATGAGAAAGTTTACCTTACCGTTTTCGATCATGAGGGGGAAAACCTTGAATTTTGAAGAACAAAGTCATTAGACACCTAGCTCAAAAGTCGAGAAAGGTCATTTCCCGCCATCTAGAAATCAAAAATTTTCCCGGGGGAGGAATGTTGACCCCACCACCTAGATTTGATTCCAGATCTGCATGATTCATATTCTCATTCATCTTATAAGCAGTGGCGTAACAGGCAGGGGGCCGGGGGGAAGACTGTCTGTTTTTACCGGACTGACCAAGCCATCGTACCGGGGAGGGAAAGAGAAAGAAGGGGAAAGAAAAAGGAAAAGAAAAGGAGAAGAGAAAAATAAAGACAAGAATAAAAAGGAGGATATAATGAACAGATATCACAATACCCCAGACTGCAACCCCCTTCTCCACTTCAAAAAGTGTCCATATCGCATTTGATCTAAGCCGCCAGGTATTCTCCGCAGTGGCGTAACCACCGGGAACAAGGGGGAAATATCCATCAGTGGAAAATCTTTCCCCATTGAATGCCCTTTTCACCCGGGAAAGTTCCCGAAAATCTCAAATTTTAAATCGCATATTCTGTTGAGGTAGGCCAATTTCCTCTAAAAATTGCACATTTTAGGGAGTTTTGATCAATTCCGACGAAATTAGAATTTAAAAAAAAAAAAAAATTTTCGAGCGCTACGCGCGCATTTTTTCATGTTAAAGCTTGTGCTTGCTCTCCTTTGCCTTCTAAGTTATAACACATAGTCCCAAACTCAAGAAAGAAAATTTAAGATAGATCGTTTTACCTAAAAGAAGGACCTCAATGTGTAATGATGTTGAAAGAATATGTTTGTAATAAATAACGCTATAAGGAAAATGCTTATATTCAGTTTTAAAAAACGAGTTTGGCCATATATAAAATAAGAGCATTTATTGTTGAGGTAGGCAAATTTCCTCTAAAAATTGCACATTTAGGGAGTTTTGATAAATTTGTTAGGGTTAAAGCTTGTGCTTGCCCTCCTTTGCCTTCTAAGTTATTTAAAAACATAATAGTCCCAAACTTGAGAATGAAAATTTAAGATAGATCGTTTTACCTAAAAGAAGGGCCTCATGTGTAATGATTGTGAAAGAATAGGCTTATGATTGTAATAAATAAAACCACGATGAAAAT